ACAAATGTGCTTTACACAATTGATGGATGTATGGATGGTGATAAGAGTTGTATGAGCCCCTAATAAAATGATTTAAAAACAAAACAAAAACAACAAAAAAAGAGTTGTTTGCATTAGTTGGTGGTGGTGTGCATTACCAAGCTGGGGTGCTAACTGCAAGTCTGCAGTTTGAAACCACCAGGTGCTCCTCAGGGGAAAGATGAGACTTTCTATTCCCCCAAAGAGGCATAGTCTCGGAAACTCCTTGGAGCTGTTCCACCCTGTCCTGTAGGGTCATTAAGAGTTGACATCACTCAGTGGCAGTGAGTTTGGGTTTTGTGTTTGAACGCTGTGAGGCTGGCTCTATTGATTGGCTAGGACATGACACTAGGGCACATTTACCTTACCCAGAGGATGGTTGATAAGGCTGGGCACACTCCTGGCTGTGAGGGTCAGCTCCTTCTCCTCGCTGCCTTCCATGGGGCCCAGGAGGAAGCGAACACGCTGTTCCTGGGCAGGCGGCGTCCCAGCATTGAGACCTGAGTACACACGGGGAAAGAACATCTCGTCAAGTCTAGTGGGCAACAGGGGAGAGGGAGGGGAGCGGGGCATGGAGCGGGGACTGGACACGGGAAGCAAGCTTTTGGTTAAAATCTTGATTATGCTACTTCTCAACTGTGTCACCATAGACAATACTTAACTTTCCGGAGACTCGGGTTCTCCACCTGAAAAATGGAGAAATGAGGAGTAACAACCTAAACAGAATAGATGATTTGGAAGACTAAACTGGAACTCTCTGTTCAGGCCAGTGGGCCATCTCTGACTTTGGGGGGCGGTAGGAAACCCAAGCGGCGATAGACAGACCACCCGTGCCACCCCCCATTTCCTCCCCAATCACTGGGAGGGGGGGGCGGTCTGGTTCGAAGTGCCCACCTTTCAAAAGCTGCGTCTCCACGGTGTCTCGCAGGAACTTCCATTTCAGCCCAGGGGGCTTGTACGTCGCGAAGAGCCCGTGCAGTCGAGCCAGGCCGGCAGACGCCATTCGTGAAGCCCACGGCCCAGGCTGGGACCCTGGGCGGAAGTGCCGTACGGCCCGCCCTTAAATGTGGCCCTTCCATGGGCGCCGCCATATCCGCCGCCGGAAGTGGTCCTCGCCATACGGCCCCGGGGGAAACGTGCTGCGGGGCGGAAGTTCGGGACCGGAGTCGGAAACCCAGGCTAGCGGGGTCTTGGAGACCCTTTTCGGGGGAGTGAGGTGAAACGGAGGGAATGTGGTCTCGGCCGAAGTAGAAAGTTTGGTTAGCAGATCGCCTGGGTTTCACAGTTAGGGCTTTTCCTTTCGGTGCTGCGAGTTTCTCTTTAAGAGCCCTTTAAGGGGGGGGGGGGGAGAAAAAGAAAAGAAAAAAAAGAGTCGGAATCGAGCACTTTTGGCTTCTCCGGCACTCCGTCGCCAAAGACATTTGGGGACACCTGCCTGGCCGGACTCGCCGGCGGCTATGGTGACCCTGCTGCGTCGCTCCCTGTGCCCCGTCCGCCGGCTGCGGGGTCGTCCCCGGCCCGCTGCAGGCAAGTGGCGCCGGGTTCTAGGCGCGGGCGCGTGGCGTTCGGGGCCACCCTGCTGCCCTGACCTGCGTCTTCGTCTCCCCTCGCAGACGTGCCCCACCGGACCGCCAGCCATGCCGGCCCCGGCCTTCTCTACCCCGACCACATCCCCACCTCCCTGCTGCAGAAGACGCTGCTGGCCGCCGGCTCTGCTGCAATGGCGCTCTACAACCCCTACCGCCACGGTAAGGCCACCTGCGCCCAGCCACCCTGTGGGTGAGGGCCCGCGTGTGCACCCTGGTCTCGGGAGCCGGGGAGGTCACGACCCGTTTCCCAGGGGTAGCGGGGGGCTGAGCAGCACTGTACCCAAGCCTGGAGGTGCTTCATCGCCAAGGGGGCCTCAGCCCAGCCCGGACGCACCCAGGTCGGAAACTGCCTGGTGGAGCTGGGAGGGAGGAAGGATGGATGGACATGGGCTTCTGTCTTTTCAAACTGCCCGGGAGATGCCATCATCCGACGACACTGAGCACTTCCGGGGGACGACAAAGATGACCGAGAAGCGCTCACTGCTGTGGGAAACCCCGCGTGGTACAAGCGGTTAACTGACAGCGAACTGGAAGGCGGGTGGTTCGAACCCACCTTGAGGTGCCTTGGAGGAAAGCTGGGCGGGCGACTTGTACTGAATTCTGCGGCGCACAGTTCTGTCCTGACACGGGGTGCCTACGAGGTGGAATCTACGGGAAGGCACACTCCCCTCGCGCACGGCCATCGGGTTGATGTCCACGCCCGGTGACAGGGGTAGAACCGCCCGACTGCGTTTCCAAGACTGGGACTCTTTAA